GCGGAGCGGCTCCTTCCCCCTTGGGCGCGGAGGGCCGTGCGGGGCCCCCCACGCAGCCCGCGCGTGTCCGCGCGCCCCGGGCAGCGCTTACCTCAGCCGCGGGGCTGCAGTGGGAAGCGGCCTCCGGGCAGGGGCGCTTCTGCGGGGCCCCGGCTTTGCTGTGACACATTCAGGTAGTTTTCGCCTCTCTCTGTGTCACGGGGAGGCGGTTTGCGCGAGGCTCGCAACGCTGGACGCGCCCGAGAGGGGGAAAGGCAGCCCGTCCTGCGGAGGCAGCCGCGGGGCCAGCTCCTAACTTTTGCCCTGTGTGCTTAGCAGACGCGTCAATAGCGAGAAATATCTCCGTGTTTCCTAGGAAAGAACGAAGCTCCGGGTATTTGAACGCTTAGGGCTTCTACCATCTGCTTTAGCGCGAGCTCAAGCACTAGCACTGCTTATTCCCTGCACAAATCCTATAAACGCTAACAAACTGCAGGATTTGCCTAAGTTTCCCGGGCCTCGCAATCTTATATGGATATTCAGTGGGGCCGCCAGTGTGCGTGAGGATTACGGGCTAAGCACGGGCTGCACCATCAACCGTCTAGGGTGCCACTTGAGCATGTCCTCACAAATGGGGAAGGCAGCAAACCTAAGCAGCGACAATACAACCGCTTTGCGCTGGATACTTGACAGGGGGGAAAAAAGGAAGTTAAATCAAGGTGCTAGAATTAGGAAGCTGTGCAGGACTGAGGCCTCTGGTTGCGGGGGATCGTTTTCGGCCTTTTGCTTGAAGCCCTATAAGCTGCGTTGCTGCTATTGTCCAGCCTTCACCAGCCACGTGGGGCAACGCTTGGCAGAGGGACAGAAAGTTATTTCTACTGGGCAGAAACTGGAAATATCCAGCTGGGCTGCGGATTCCATTTCTAATCAGAGCAGAGGGCAGGAAAAGCCAGTGCCCTTTCTCGTTACACAGATAGCAGGTTTAGAGTTTGTTAGAGCTGCTTGAGCTGTCCAGAAAATACCTGCTGTTTAAAGGTGAAATAAATAAAAGAGTGCTTTCTTTTTTTTTTTTTCTTAAACTAATCAATTTATTTATGTTTCTGCACATAATGTACGTAACGCGTGGTTTCTGCACACCAAGTGCAGTGGTAATATAGACATACAGTGCTGCAGGAGCTGTCAGGGTTGATGGACTGATCCAAATGCATTTGCAACGTTTGCAACAAATAGCTCCAAGTTAAAAACATGAAAAACTTATGGTTGGATGTTTGGGTCAAGTTTTCAATTCCAGTTGGGATAAGGAGAATAAAGCCCTTTATCTTTTTTTTTTTTTCCAACCAAATCTGGATTTTGATGATTTTTCTGAAAGCATATTCATAAAACCCAGATAATTGATATTAACTATCATGCCCAAATGTTTGTTTCTGTTCATATAAATTGAAAATCATATTTTTTTAATTAAAGTAGATAGTTTAAAAGATGAAAGGCATCCTTGGGAACTAGAGACAGAATGTATCAATCACTGAGAGGAAACTTTTGGGTTGAAGAAATAGGAAAAACCCGTATGAAAAGCACA